TGTACTTGTTTGCATACTCGTAATACTGCATTCCTATTGGACAGATACAATCGCTAAGCGATCAGACAGTTCTGATTGGCCACCTAAGCGGCGGGAGTTTTAAATAAACGCCATTGGTTGCGAGCCGCGAGCAGCCGCTATAAAAAGGGCTGCCGCAGCTAGACTTTAGTTGAAGTTACTGACAGTTAATAAAGAGCTGAATTCAGCTCCGGTCTCGAGTCTGCTTTTGTTCTGGCGATAGAACAATCTTCATGGTCATTGTTGTCATTGGTGCATTGAGGACCATACGCTAGTCATGGCATGCCCCTCATATTTTGAATCCAGTCCAGCTGTGGTTGTTGAGGTTGAATTTTTTTGTGTGTCTGCATTTGAAGGACATGAAAATTGGATATTAGCAGAACCAAAGTTCTGGTTGGATGAAGGTCAGCCAGAATCAATTTCTCCAAAGAAGTTTATAGATGTAGGAATAGCAAAATTCAGTCTACCAGATTTATTGCACTACAGTTCATAGTTTTCCTCACAACTGACCAGGTCATAAGTTTGAATGTACTTATTAAATATTAATTATTGAATCTCCATAATGACCAGATTCTCCTCGTCCTCTGCCATCAATCATTGTCTTATGTCCCAAACTTTAGCATGTGAATAGGATTACTCATTAAGGGTTTTTTTTTTTCTGACAGAAGAGACAAGCCATTTAACTGCGTGATACGGTATAGTTACATTTTAAATACTGTGGTGAAAATGCTTCAGAATTCACCAGGGCAAAGGCTATCATTCCAAGCTGTACCGAAGGATGTTTTAATTAAAAAAAAAAAGCGTAATATTTGAAACAAAGAACAAGAGCACCACTAAACTCAAGCTACTTACAGTATGTTCTCTTTTCCTCAATAAATTATCACTCGCTGAACCATCTTGTATTTATTGTAAGCGGCTATACTATATTGGACAATCAGGCATTCTGTGGGAGATCAGCTAAGGTTTTCTTCACCTTGGCAGTGTTACAGGGGGTCATGCTGTCAGATGAGTGACTGGGTCTGGAATGATTTACGGTGGAATTTCTCAAAATCATTGGGAACAAAAAGGGCTTTATTTAAGATCAAATATGTCCAACTGCTGTGTTTGCCAGTTCTACCCATACCCACCTATCTTGGCTTTGGAGAATATTAACAAAATATTTTTGAGCAACAAAAAGATTTTTGCTTTATTTTTGTTTGTTTGGTTGGTTATAATCAATGACGGGGACTGTTGGGGATACAAAGTTAAATTCTGGTTAAAATAAATGAACAAATGTGTCTAAAGCTATAGGCCTTATGTCTGACACATTTGTTGCCTGCTCAAAATTCTTGAATATGTAAGATAAACCTATGGTTTATCATGGTAAAGTGGCTTGGGACAAGCATAGTTTTGGATATTATGGTTTTGGATGCTAGCTTATCAACTTACGTCAACTAAATTTTTATCAACATCAAGCCATAACAAACATTAGATTGTATTTTCCTAAGAATTAAATTTAGGAACAGGCAGGCTTATTTATGGTTGGTAATAGTTGACACTATTTTGATGGCACATAATCAATCAATCAATTAATCAATCTTATTTAGAAGATGGAAACTCAGCCTCAAATATCTCTCAGTTTCGTATGAAACTGGGTCTCCTTGCCATTGTTCAAAAGCTTCGTTGTTCAACTTGATGTTCCTCAAAAAAATACTAACCTTTTCATTGTAATATAGCCATATATTCTGCTAAGTCATAGCAAGTTTCTTTGTGGATACTCATGATAAATGGCTTAGAACAGGGGTGTCAAACTCACATCGTCATGCCAGTATCATGTGATGTATCATAACTTTCCCCCCTTCGCTAAACCAAGTGTGGGTGTGGCCAGTGTGTGACATATCTGGCCCACAGGATGGGAGCTTGAACAGCCCTGGCTTAGCATGTAAACCAAGTGTGGCTTGTTCAATAATCATGGTTAATGAAATCAAGTCAACCAGCCACTACAAGATGGTCAAATATGCTTTATTCTTTTGACCTAGTGCTATCTCTTTAGCAAGTGAGGGAATTTACATGAAAGATGGTGAACATGTCAGGTTTTCATTGTAAAGACTCAGAATCATGATAGCTTTTCTGCTTATTTTTTGGCTGTCTTTGCCATTTGATTTTCTCCTGTTGAGTGACTCTCAGCTAGTTCGTTTGTTTTTTCCTCCAATTAGGAGTTGCTGCCATAGGAGCAACCAACTGGTTACAAATAAAATTAGAAAAAGAGATTCCATATTTTTTTCCTTTGCTTCAACACGGTATGTTTTTACTAAAAGGCTGTTGTTGGGTTAGCCAAGTTTTCTCATGCTTCCTTAGCACCTCCTTACATAACCCATGACCTTGCAAAGAAACATCCGAACCAGTTGGTCCATTTCATATTTCTGTTTTCAGAATCCCACTTATTTTGCATTGCCGCCCTAGCCCTACGCTCTGGAAATGTCAGGTTTTCTCAGACTAGTTTAGCATTCTGACCAAGATGACCGTCTTCCTTTGAGAAAGTTCTTCTGAATGTTAATTAGACTGTCCTTTGGCCGGGTCTAAAGTCTTGGCCAAAGAAGCCATTTAGCTACAAGATTAAAATTCTCTTTAGAACACTTTTTTATGGTCTCCCTGATGTATTTCTGACTGTACATTGTTTTGTCCTTGGCGAGAGCAGGAAAAAATTATTACGTACAGTATTTTCTTATTTATTGCTGACCTGGGATTTCCCTTCAAAAAATATCAGTGGTTATCGGTCATTTACAATGGCCATCGATTGTACTTCACAGACAGTGGTATAAAGAATGTGTACATTTAAGAGTCAGCTGTATTTTTATGAATTTGAGCTGTAACACCTGTTACCCAAATCCATTTAGGGGCATTTGTCAGGATTCCGTCAGTTACCCCAATTAAATCATGAGTCTCCAGCCAAACTTCCAAAACTTCAAAAGGATTTATTGGGAGTTGACATGTCCGGCACTGCCTGGATGTAGCCGACTCTGAGACACATCATTCATTGTCACCCTTGACTCTGGTTTCCCCCCACCCCCTGAGTGTATCATAATTCATATTCTCCAATGGGACACATCCATAGCCAAGAGTCATCAATCATGCTCTCCAGTTAGATATTTGCATGGCAGAAACTTCAGTCACCCAGTTACTACCTCTGAAAAATTATTTATGGAATGCACTTTTGATTTCCAAGCTGCCACACTGCTCTTTCAAACCCCTTTCCCCCCTCCCTTTCCATTGACAACTCTAAAAAGACCATAGAAATATTTTATGAGTTGGACTCATGGACTTTTCCATGGTGGCCCCAAAGAGGTTTCATTCCTTAGCCGTGGCCTTTATGCAAGACTTGGAAACCCAGTTTACAAGAGGTTTGGACTGAAAGAATGAGCTAACCCTCAACTTATTTCTAAATGGTATTCTTACCCTGGCTTAAATTGTCTTTAAATAACTGTATTCCTGGGTTTTGAGGTTTTTTAATTAATAATTTGGATTTCTTAGACATTTTAGTTTTATGGATTCAAGTTTTAGGGGGGGATGGCTTAGTGGTCCCCTACAATATTTGTTTATTCTTCTTCAAATAGTTTAGGAAAAGTGGGTTTTGGAACCACCAGTCCTTTACTTGCACCGAGTAAAAGACGAATAGGTTGCCAGCATAATCCTATTTTCATCTCCAACACGTTGAAGGGGAAATAATTCAGTCTAACACTTTCATATAAGGGTCTTACGTGGAGCATGCAAGCAAATGAGCAGAATGCTTTATTGGTTTGGGATAATGTCTAAGACATCTGAATTTGCCAAGTTTCAGAAGGCTGTTGTTGGCACAAATGATGACCAGGAACAGACGCAGCCGTAAAAATGAGATACACATAATAGGTTACACATTACACTAAGAGGCAGACAACCTTTTGATAGTTATACCCACAGGGGGTTTATTTCTTTTTGACACAGATGGTAGAGCATGCTACTAGGGTTGTTTTTTTTTAAACTAATCTAGCCTGCCATTATGTGTAAATTTGGCCAACAAAATCCTATAAAGAAGTGAAATTGGAAGTCAAGCCTTCCTTGTGTCCAACTCAAGTGCTGACAATGATGTAACACAGAATTAACAGAATAACGGAGTTGGAAGGGAATTTGGAGGTCTTCAAATCCAACCTCCCTGCTCAAAAAAGGAGACCCTGGTCTATTCCATTCCAGAGTAGTGGCTGCCAAGTCTCTTTTGAAAAACCTCCAGTGGTGAGTACTTATTACTTCTGAAGGGAAGCCATTCCAGTGGTTAATCATTCTCACTCTTAGGAAATTTCCCTTTAGTTCCAAGTTGCTTCCGTCGTTAAGTAGTTTCCACCCACTTTTTCTTGACTTGCCTTCTGATGCTTTGGCAAACAGGTTGACCTTCCCTTTCTTCATTGTGGCAGCCCCTCAAATATTGGAACACTGCTATCATGTCACCCCCTACTCCTTCTTTAACTAGGCATGCCCAATTCCTGCATCTGTTCTTCATCCGTTAGTGTTTCCTCAGCTGCAATAGAGAAGTCATTGTCACGTTCCAAAATGATCTTCTGTCCAAGTAGTGCCAAGATTTTTCAAGGTCAGCCAAGGTCTACTTGGTGTAGACCAGAGGTGGTATTCAGCAGGTTCTGACCGGTTCTGGAGAACCGATAGCGGATACTTCGAGTAGTTTGGAGAACTGGCAAGTGGCACCTCTGACTGACTGGCCCCATCCTCATCAATGTTCTGCCTACCGAGTCCCAGCTGATTGACTGGATATTCTTTGGTTGCCCTGCACAGGAGAACGGAGCTGGAAAGCAGGTTAGTGGGGTAAGGAAGGAATGGGGATTTTGGAATATCCTTCCCCTGCCATGCGTACTAAGCCACGCCCACAAAACTGGTAGTAAAAAAAAAAAATTGAATCCCAACACTGGTGCAGATTGTGAATATTATAACCATATCTTTTCACCTTTTGTGTCTTTTAGGTAACATTATTGGTTCGGGCATCTTTATTTCACCCAAAGGAGTTCTTGAGCATTCTGGGTCAGTGGGACTCGCACTCATAATATGGATACTTGGAGGTGGGATCTCAGCGCTTGGGTCCCTCTGTTACGCGGAATTGGGAGTTACCATCCCTAAATCAGGAGGCGACTACTCCTACGTCACTGAGATTTTCGGTGGATTAGCTGGGTAAGTGTGACTTCAGGATTAGGGTGGATAGCAATTTTGCACGAGGGTTTAAAATCACAGCCGGACATTTAATTTCATCGGTTCTTCTCACAGAGGAGGTCTGAGCCCTAACATGACCGCGAAGTGTAAGATTTCTCATATAGAACTAGCAACTGACTTGGGACGGAGTCCTTATTTGACCTTGGAACTCACTGGTTGCTTCAAACATCCGCTCCCAAAATGATCTCTTTCATGGGGTTATGGTCATCGGAACGAAATTAGGGAAGACCCTCACAAACACAACTTAGGTTTTCATAAAAAAGGCAAGGTGGAGATGAAATAAATACATTGCAGCGTCTTATATTGAATCCTCTGTTGCTTTTCTTTGCTTTCTTTTTTTGTAAAGTTTTTTTTAATTTTTAAACATACATCAATATCACTGCATGGACAATGTGGTGTCTGAGTGTCATTCATTTTGATAGGAAAACAGAATTGATACAAATGAAAATTACTGCATTCATCAAACTTATATAACTTCTAATGTTATTATACATATTTATATCAGCACATAATCCTTCTTTTTTAATTATTCAATATTTGCCACATCCTTCTAATAGAAATAACATTATTCTTGAGCATACCTGATAACATCCTTTTTCAAAATCTGATTTTAACCTCTAACATTCTCTTTAACTGCATTGTGCAAAAATATGTATAACAATATTCCCCCTATAATCTGTTGCTTTTCTTAAAAGATCCATATATGTAGGAGAAAAATCGGCAGAGCTGGGGAGAGGTGGAATTAAGTGAATCATCAGCCTGGAGTCATTACATTTCCACAAATGGTCCAAGTCCTCTTGAATTCCATTGACCTTTTCTGGCAAATTTTTTTTACTGAACTTTAGTTGACTATATTCTATGGTATACACTTGAGCAATAAATCTTCTGAACTACAATTTAACATGTGGTCGTGAGTCTTTATGCCTGACAATATGGCAAAAACCTGGCTAACTGTTACTCTGAGTAGAGGCATCTGTAAGGGGCATTTGAACCAGTGGTATTTGAACCACTCCCCACTTCTTTCAAACTTAAATTCCAATTTCACAGCAACTTTTTGAGGGACCCCAGGATCAGGGCTCTCCAGCTGAGGACCCAGACTTTAAACCTAACTTTTTATGGCCCGTGGTTCAATAGCGTCCCCCAGCCACCCATTTTTAAAAGAAGAGCGTTTATTGAATTGCTATCTGATGGGCTGTGCAAGATTGCTACAGCAGAGTCGGAATGCTGGTTTTGTGCAGAGAAGCATAAAACATCTGCATAAAAATTGGATTTTGGGAGGAAGGGAGAGCAGGTCTGTGCTGATAGATAAGCAGGACCTAACTTGTATTTATAGGGGCACAATGAGCCAGATTGCTTTGGGGGAAGATTGCTTGTGAGCTCCGGGATTAAATGACAAAATGCAACAAAAAGGAAGGTTTTTATTCCTGCAACATCTGATAAATTCCAAAGCTCAGACTTGTCTAGAAATCAATGTTTATTGCAGCAAAGGAAGGGACCGAATCAAGAGTTTTAAATGGAGATATAAAAACTGAAATCTGCGGCATTGAAAATTCAGCTTTATGGAGGAATTAACTCCCATCCTTCAGCCAAACATAATTCAAGTGGGAGATCCCTTAATCTTGCCTTTCTTTACAGGGCTGTGTTTTTATTGCAGTGCAAGACTCAAATCTATTTTCAACAAGAGCTCTAGTTGCATTTTCTCCTAGTCAAATGGGCTTTGCAGGTTTTTAAACGCTTCAGAAATGTCAATCATCTTTTCAAAACTTGAAAGAAGTAATGCAGAGAAACACGGGGCCTAATAAAAGGGGGAAACTTTTCCATTTGGTTTGTAAATGAGCTCAGAAAATGTGTAACTTGGAGGCAACTATGTTAATCTTAGGAGACTCGGTCCAGATTCAAGGAATAATAAATGAGAAAACCTGGTGGATTATTTTTTATTCATTGGTTACTGCCTCTGAATAAGGACGTTCCACTAATATTAACAGATTTATCCTCTGTGGAAAGGTCTAATGTTTTTGTTGTGGTTGTTACCAGCCTACTAAGTTACTGGCCTTCACCATCACACCTGACAGAATAACAGAATAATACACGAATGAAGGCAAATATATGTGTCCCAGGATTGTTGCAGGATCTGAACTTGGACCAAAAGTTTTATCTTCTTTCAAACTATTGCAGGACCCACGCCCTTTTCCAATAAATCAAACACAATTCAAAAGGAACAGAAATCTTGTAATGCTTTTACAAAATAATTAGCTGTGATAAGCACAAGCCTTGCCAAACTGTGTTGGACTTGCCAAAAGATAACAGACAGGGAATAATTTGCAAAATAAGAATCTTCAAATACAAACTCAGGATAATGGAATGTCCACGAGGCTGGAGTTTCAAAACGTCTTTGTCTTCTGCAAAGAAGGTTAGTTTCACAACTGGCTTTTATCTTCTTGAAGGAGGGGCCATTAACTTGCAGCCTTACTCCCGAGTCACCCGTGCTGCTGCAGCTGCTCTTTCCTGCGAGCAAACCTGCGCGCGCGCACGCATTTGGCACAGGCACCTTGGGAACTTCCTCATCGCTGCTGCCAGCCCCCACAATCTCTGAAGGCAGCAGTCCATTCCCTAATGGTCCTGGACCCTCATCTGAGTCCTCGCTCTCCTTAGCTGCTGGATAACCACAACACTTAGAGAACTTCTGTCTAGCCGCTTGCCAAGATATTCTGTGAAGATGGGCTCCAGCACAAATCCAAAAGCTTGGAAGACAAAACCTCTGGTCCAGGTGACCGACCCAGATTGGCTCCTGCAGAATAACAGAGTTGGAAGGGACCTTGGAGGTCTACCAGTCCAACCCCCCGCCCAAGCAAGAAACCCTATACCATTTCAGACAATCTTGCAATAGCAAATTCCCAAAGCGAAGTGCAAATTTCTGCTCCCTCTGCGATGGACAATGGAAGGAATAATTCAACCATTGTCCATCTTTCAGGTGACCAGTAGAGAAAATATGGCAACAATAGGAAATGTAGGGATTTCTTATCAATAACCACAGGCATGTAACCGATCCAGAGAGAAAGGAGGTCAAGGGGTTGCTACAGAATTCTGTGAGTTGGATGGCCAATATATACAAAATAATAATAATTATAACAACAACAACAATACCAATAGCAATAGGGTGGAGTCCCAAAACAACTGGAGCACCATTTGAACACCATCAGTGGCACTGACAAATTTGCCATCAGTCAATTGCAGAAGGCAGATTTACTTGGAACAGCTTCCATCCTGTGGCGATATCTGTAACTCCATCAAACATCCAGATTTGCCTATCCCGGGTCCTTGGTAAAGACTTGATAGGTAGACAAAAATACCAAACGAAGTCTGAACATCTGGCTGACTGTGCGATGAATAATAATGACAACAACAACAATAACAATAACAATAGGTTCAAAGTCCTGCCCTTTTTATGAGCATTGTGGCATGTGCAAAAAAGTGGGGGTGGGTGGGTTATTGACTGTATAGTTGCAACACTACATTACTTCTCCCATTGGCTCCCCAGTTCAGTGGTCTCCAGTGGCTAACCCCTGTTACTCAGTCCTAGCGAATGATCTTTTCTGATGTCTTTTGAGAACATGTCCCTCACATGTTGCTCTGCTGTGTTGTTTTTCGGTAGGCTTAGGGAGCGTTCAGAGTCCCCATTTAATCATGCTGGTGGGAAGGACAGTATCAGGTGTGAAGGATCAGGACAATACAGTGCCAAGTTGCTGTTAAGAAGCTTTATTGCTCAATCCTATATGTAAAAAATTAGTCATCTAAATTCAACACTAAATTGATGCTAAATAAAGAGTTGGTGGAATTCAAGAGGGGTTAGACTTAGAATCTTTGTGGGAATTCAAGGGTTCTAGGCTACTGACTCGCTTAACTCTGCCTCCTGGTTTTGACTGCCCTTCGCCTTTAGACAGTGGGTTGAAATCAAATGAGAAGCAGGATCCCCCTCTACTCCTTTCTTCTCAAATCTTTCTCTACAATAAATACTTGGCCTACACATGCTTGTTCTGCCCAGCAGACTAGCCTGAACGAGATATCTTGAATTGTTTCTATTGGTTGCAGATTTCTGCTGCTATGGAGCGCGGTCCTTATCATGTACCCAACTAGCCTGGCTGTTATTGCTTTGACTTTTTCTAACTATGTGCTACAACCAATGTTTCCCAATTGCATCCCGCCCTACAAAGCTTCACGAGTCCTTTCCATGGTGTGTTTATGTAAGTATGGATTTATCATTTGCACCAAGACAACAAATTCCTTGTGTGTCCAATGACACTTGGCCAATAAAGAATTCTGTCATTGGTTTTCTTTATCCCGTAAGGTTATGATTGGACTCAGAGCTAAGGAACCTACTTGCCTCTGAGTCAGTTTATTTTATTTATTTAATTAATTAATTTTATTTGTCAAACATTTACAATGCAATAGAAATAAGAATAAACATAAGTTTAAATACATGAAACAGGAACTAATAATTGGGGACAATAGGACAGGGACGGTAGGCATTATTGTGCGCTTATGCACACCCCTTACAGACCTCTTAGGAAAGGGGTGAGGTCAATTGAGGTTAGTTTGAGGGTAAAGGAGTAGGGGTTTGAGCAGGTGACAACAGAGTAAGGTAGCAAGTTCCAGACATTGACCACTCTTGCTGAAATTGTATTTCCTGCAATCAAGTTTGGTGTCAGGGTTCTGGCAGTTACCCCATTTAAACAATGAGTCAGGCTAACTTCAGAAGTTTTAAGAAGATTTATTAAGAGTAAACATGCCGGCACTGCCTGGGTGTAGCCGACTCTGAGACACATCATTCATTGTCACCCTTGACTCTGGTTTTCCCCCACCCCCTGGGTGTATCATAATTCATATTCTCCAATGGGACACATCCATAGTCAAGAGTCATCAATCATGCTCTCCAGTTAGAATTTTGCGCGGCAGAAACTTCGGTCACCTAGAAACTATCTTTGAAAACATTTATGGAATGCAAGCTTCCCACTGCTCCTCCCTCCCTTTCTGCTGGCAACTTTAAAAAGACCATAGAAATATTTTATGAGTTGACATTTGGAGTGGTTTACATAAAGTTTATATCTGTTGTGTGCACTTGTGTTGTTGTGGTTAAAGCTGAAATAGTCATTAACTGGTAAGACATTGTAACACATAATTTTATGTACTATGCCAATCTTAGCTGGCATAGTTCAAGGTTGTCTAAGCCTAGAATCTCAAGTCTGGTGGTGTAGGGTATTCTGTTAGTGAACAAAGGAGTGTAGTGCTCTTCTTGTAAAATACTTCTGGACTCAATTAATTGTATTAATGTCTGATATACAGTGCGGATTCCAGACACCAGAGCTGTATTCAAGTGTTGGTCTAGCAAAGGTTTTGTATGCTCTAGTTTGCAAATCAGTATTACCGGAGGAGAAGCTTTGTAAGATTAGATTTACAACTCTTTTTGGCAACGCTGTTGCAGTGAGCTCTGGTGTTATTGTGAGTGTTCCAAGTAATACGTCCATAATAAACAGAGCTCCAAGGCAAGAAGGTTCCTCAAAGAACAGGTTTATTGGATACATCATATTGGCACAGATCTGGTGAAAACTGACTCTGAATATTCCCGCAGTTTTCACCTAATTAAAAGTTTTCCCCATTTCCAAACAGTCAGGCACATGGTCCAATCAACATCCCCCAAACCCCACTCCCTATTTACAAGTATTTAGCTAAAAGGGCGGGGTTTCAAGCAGGTAGTTGGGGCTGCCACCTTGACTTTTTTTACTCCTCTCTACAGATACCGATATCGATACTGTTTTTGCTTTCCATTTTGAGGAACTGAACTCTGCTTTCTCATCTCTAGCACTGTTGACTTGGGTGAACAGCTCCAGTGTTCGGTGGGCCACACGAATCCAGGACATCTTCACAGGAGGAAAACTCTTGGCTTTGGGTCTTATCATAACTGTTGGCTTTGTGCAGATCTTCAAAGGTACCGATACAAAACCCCACAGTGTTAAAATGGTCTTCTGCATGAAATCCAACACTTTTTAGAAAACTCTCGCATCCCACTGTTTTTCAAGTGAGTGATATTTGAAAACATCTATGATAAGCTTCATGGTGGGCTCCAAGACTTACCTTGGGCTGTGAACGTCAAGTATAATCAACAATTGGGAGCAATTTATGTCCCCTGTCAGGATTCTAGCTGTTACCTCCATTTAAATCATGAGTCTCGAACCAAACTTCCAAAACTTTAAAAGGATTTATTGGGAATTAACATGCCGGTACTACCTGGGTGTAGCCAACCCTGAGACTTGTAATTCATTGTCCCCCTTGACCCTGGTTTTCCCCCCATCCCCTGGGTGTATTGTAATTCATATTCTCCAATGGGACACATCCATAGCCAAAAGTCATCAATCATGCTCTCCAGTTAGAATTTTGCACGGCAGAAACTTCAGTCACCTAGTTACTATCTTTGAAAACATTCATGGAATGCACTTTTGGTTTGCAAGTTGCCGCACTGCTGCTCCCTTTCTGTAGTCAACTCTAAAAAGACTATAGCAATATTTTATGAGTTGACATCCCCAAGGCTCTGCTGATCATTCTACCTCCATTCCCATAAAAGGAACAGGACAACTGTGTGATGGAAAAGCTCATAGTTTGATAAATTGGTTTTTTGGAGGCTGTCTTAAAAGTGCTTTTTTCAAAAGGACTTTGTTTTTCCTTAAAGATGTTTCTCTACTTCAATTATGTGAAGAAGCTTCTTGGGTGAGAAGCAAAACTCCTTCAAGGAAAAACAAAGTCCAGTTACTTTTTGGGGTGAAAAACACCTTTGGGACAACCATGACCTGCATGACTGAGAATTCCCACTTTTTATTTTAGAGAATATAACAGCATCTCCTTAGCTGGTCTTGGAAGGAGAGAAGTTGGATCTAAGACTGTCGCGCAATGGGAACTCACCCTCAATCCCAGGGTGATGGGCTAGACTAGGAATTAAAAAGAGGCAAACCACTTTTGTATTGTCACCAACGTGTTGCAAAGAACATGGTTGTGTGCCCATAAACTCATCCTGGGTTTAATTTGGCTCAACAAGAGTAAAATTGAGGGCAGAGGAAAGAATGAAGGGAAGAAGCAGATGTCATCACTCAACTAGGACTGCCAAGAGATTGAATCAGTCACGGGGCAGGGAAGTTTTATTTTAAAAAATGGATTGAACTGTTCTACAGGGGTTCCTCCCCACCAAATGATGTGATTCCAGGGGATTTTGCTCTAGAAAAAAACAGGGAGATTATAAAAAGTGAGCAGTGCTTTTCATCGTTGGAGAAAGCAAGCTATCCCCCTTCTTTTGTGGTGCTTCTCCAGGTGTTTCTCCTTTTCTTCCCCCAGCAGTGAGAAAGGCCCTTCAAGGGGAGATCAAGAATGGTTGTGTCCAGATAACAAGAATGTGGCTTTTTCTTGTAGTCATTCCCTCACTTCTCTGTGTGCTTGAATCAAAACTCAACAAGATAGCTGAAGCTCTATCGTGTGAATCCTAGCCTTTTTTTTTTTTTTTTCACGTGATACACATTAAAAAGGGACGGGATTTCAATCACGCAGGACCAGCTGCCATCTTGACTACAGTACATGATGTGTTTGTGTGAACTGATGATGCCCTCACTGAAGTCTGCTCTCGTTGTAGAAAACTATGAAGCATTAATACCAAGCAATGCATTCAGCTTCTGGATGACCCCATCTGTGGGACATTTGGCGCTAGCATTTCTCCAAGGTTCCTTTGCATTCAGTGGGTGGAATTTCTTAAATTACGTGACAGAAGAACTGGTTGATCCACGCAAGTAAGTGTTCCTGTGCACTTTGGCCAAGGTTTGGAGAGATATCAAGCTGTTGTCCTACAGCCCCAATGGATCACAGTGATCAGTTTTCTTATTGCTTGAGAAAAGAAGATGATACCAATAGGAGGAGAGAGAAGAGGTAGACAAAATGGGAAGACTTAGAACAGGAGTGTCCAACCTTGGCAACATGACTGGCTGGGGAATTCTGGGAGTTGAAGTCCACAGTTCTTAAAGTTGCCAAGGTTGGACATCCCTGGCTTAGAAGAATAGTTGGATAGGAAATCGCACTGCTTAGAAAAGCCTAGGCAAATGTTCAGCATCTGAGTTTTCAATCTTCATTATACTTAATGAGATTAGCACCTTAAAACTGCGCAATTTTCAAGCTTCTAGGGCAGGGCTCCCCAAATTTGGCAACTTTAAGACTGGCGGACTTCAACATTCTGGGAGTTGAAATCCACAAGTCTTAACGTTGTCAAGTTTGGAGACCTCTGTTCTAGGGAATATGATCAACCATGGTAAAATGTTTACTGATTTTAGCCATCCACTAAGCTACATTAGCAGCATTAGAAAGAAGCAATAGAAAAGGCCAATCTGTGCTGTGGCTATTCACCTTTTTTTGCATGTACATGCATGGAATGTGATTTGGTCTAACATTCACGCAACTTACTGTTGCATACATTTCATTCACGTTCTACCTAATTTGCCTGTTGACCATAGTCCATGTCCATGTTGGGTTTTGCTTCTCGGGCCTTGGTTCTCAATGCTTATCAAATCCCCCGCCCTCATTTTTGTTTTGGAAATTAGGAATCTACCCCGTGCCATATTTATCTCCATTCCCCTGGTGACTTTTGTATACACCTTCACCAATGTTGCATATTTCACGGCCATGTCACCCCAAGAACTCCTGTCTTCCAATGCTGTGGCGGTCGTAAGTAAAATATGGCCCGGAATTTGACTTTGCATTTGGGATTCATTGAAATGATTCGTTTTTGCTTTCTGTTTGGTGCGTTGCAATTTATGTTTCGTTTCCATTCCTCCTCCTGCCTTTTGTTGCTTTAGACATTTGGTGAGAAGTTACTGGGCTATTTTTCCTGGGTTATGCCAGTGTCTGTGGCATTGTCTACATTTGGAGGAATAAATGGATACCTTTTTACCTCCTCAAGGTTAGATAAAGTACGATTTATTTATTTATTTGCTTATTTTTCATGAGCACTTTTTTAAAAATTTCTTTACTTCGGGAAGAGAAACATCATTGCTTTTTTAGTGGGAATGTTCTGGTGTGTTTCATGCTAAACAACATTTTGGGACATGGCGCTCATAATATACTTAGATGGCCCTGCAAGTTGCAAGGAGTGTCCGTGGAGCTAATTCTGCAGTTAAGATGTTAGGACAATATGAATGTAAGATTGGATGTGCTGTCCTGATTGGGGAATGCCAAAGGTTTTGAGCCATTTTAGAAAGAAATTTGACAAATTTATGGCAGATAAGATTGTCATCAGCAAGTAATCATCACAGTGTAAGCGGGCTGAGAATCGCTATATATTTAGTATCAGAGATAATATATATTACCAGTTAGCTGTAACTGGGTTAATATGATCAAGACAGTGGTCCTGTTTGTGTGAACTGTTCCTGCCTTTCAGAAAAAAATCTTGGGGGCAACTGTTGGATCAGCATGTTTGATTAGTCCCAAAGGTGCTTTTTCAAGAGGCAACTGAACTTCCTGGTTTTTATTTGAAGACGTTTTGCTTCTCATCCAGGAAGCTTCCTTAACTCTGGATGGATGCTGGGGAATGGAAGGATTGATACTCCTTGCAGACAGCTGGTCATTTTGCATTCTTTGAGAGAGTTGTTGAGTCCACTTTGAGGTTTGATGGTGTCCTCAGGGTCACCTGAGTAGTGCGAATGGGCGTGGAAGTTCCCATTTATCTGAGGACACAAATAAATCTCCAAGTAGCCTCAACGACCCTCTAAAAGGATGCAAATGACCAGCTGTCTGCATGGAGTATAAATCCCTCCATTCCCCGCCATCTAGTCAGAACTGAAGAAGATTCTTGGATGAGAAGCGAAACTTCTTCAAAGAAAAACCAGAAAGTCCAGCTGCCTCTTGAAAAAGCCCCTTCGGGACTGAGAATCTCCATAGATATGTTTAATTAGATGTTAGTTTTATTTGGATCGGCTTCTTTTGAAAACACTTAGTGTCACAGCCAGAATATTAATCTTATGGGCATCCAGATCAGCCCATGTGCATCATATCATGTCACCAATTATGTGGGTTTTACTGTATGTCAATCGCATGATGTGACATCACTGTGGTTTTTAATCGATGCCCATGACTGTACATTCAAATCCCATTCATTCTTGGGGAGCTTGAATTTTAGACTAACCATTCTCAGTAGATATTGTATCAGGGAGTTTGTGAAGACAGGGGAAGGCATCCAGGAATTCAACAACTTGGGAGGAATGTCCCATAACTGAGAAGCATCTAGAGACCATTGATTTTTCTTCTCCTCCTAACTCACCCCAATGTTTTAAAGTATATGAAGCCAACATCTATGTTCTCCTCTTCCACTTTATCCATGAAACAGTGGAGTGGCCATCCAAAGATGAAATCCATCACACCTGGAAAGTACCAGACTGTGGGAAGACAATGTCTCTCTAAACAGAACACTGGAGGTGTGAAATACCTATTTTTGTCACTTGCCACTCTTAAGTAACAAACTGAATCTTTTTTCCCCCCAAGTGTTAAATATTCCTCATTGGGTTTCTGTATCTTCCGCCATCAGAAGAAAGTTAAACTATGTGTTTGCTGAAAAAGGGGTTAAAATAAAACAAGCTTAGGAGAATGGTTTTTCTTCTCTCTCTTTTTAGGCTGTGTTTCGCTGGTGCCCGAGAAGGTCATTTACCGAGTCTTCTGGCCATGATCCATGTCAAAAATTGCACCCCAATCCCTGCTCTCCTTATCTGCGTAGGTGTTTCTATTCCTGTAGAATTGATTGACATAGCTAATCGGAAAGACTCTTGGTTTAATTGAAGACCAATCAAATACATTTGGTAAAATCAGCCACGCTAAAAATAAAATGTACTTGTATTACTCAAGTGCAGCCAAAATCACTAGATAGAGCGAAGAGACGGATTCAGGTGGCAGATATTGGAAGCTGAGTGAAGCCATGAAAAGAATGAAAGAGAGCGTGAAGACAAACCATCATGAAATAGCGTTATGACTCCATTGGCAGCTAATCTTACAAACAGCCATTTGTTATTGTATGCTGCTCACGGTTTGGTTCCTTTTATTAATTTCATTATCAAGATATAAAATACAAAAGAAAGTGAAACCAGTTGGGAAAATTGAGAAGAGGAAGGGGAAGAGAAAGAAGTGTAGGTTAAAGCAGGGGAAGAGAAAAGAAAAACATTGACTTCCAATTCTTTTTAGCAAAATAGAATAAGTAATAACATTACAGCCTCAACTTTTTACTTTCCCTTTCATCTGCTATGCATCCTCTCTCTCTCTCTCTCTCTCTCTCTCTTTCTCTCTCTCCTCTCCTCTCCTCTCCTCTCCCTCCCTCTCTTTTCATCTGTAGTGTCTCCTTAGCCTGTCCTAGCTATAGCTCTGTCATCCCTGCAATAGCTTAAGCCAGGGGTTTCCAACCTTGGCAACTTTTAAGACTTGTGGACTTCAACTCCTAGAATTTTCCAGCCAGCCACGTGTGGACTTCAACTCCCAGAATCCCCCAGCCACGTGTGGATGGCTGGGGAATTCTGGGAGTTGAAGTCCACAAGTCCCAAGATTGGAAACCCCTGGCTTAAGCTATTTGAATGGGAAAGCTTCTTCGTGTCTCTTGATCCTTGTATCATGTGCCCACTCTTCCTTTGAAGTCTGCATTTTTAACCTTGGGGAAGTTTTTGCCTTTGTTTCTTCCAGAAATTCTCAATTTAAAGAATACACCCCTTCCTTTTTCTCTCCCCCACCCCCCAGTGCCTGGCTACTGTGGTCATCATGCTGGTTGGAGACACCTACACGTTAATTAACTACGTGTCCTTCATCAACTACCTCTGCTACGGAGTGACAATAATAGGCCTGCTTGTGCTACGGTGGAAACAGCCTCAGATCTTCAGACCCATCAAGGTGAAAAATAGTGGGGCAGTCTGGTGCTTCTCCCACTCTTTGGCCTCTGCTGGTTGTCCTTGACTTACAAACATTCATTTAGCAACCGTTTGAAATTAAAATGGCATTCCAAAAAGTAACTTGCAACCAGTCATGTTTATAACCCCCACTTGTTAAGCAGTTTGGAGGCTCTGATGTCAAATTACTCCACCTTTACCTGCCAGATCGTTAGGTACACCCATGAATTAAGAAAAGGTAGAGATGAGCTTACGTTCCTGATCCTGGTGAGCTTTAAACAATCAGGACTACAGTCTCCCTGATCTCCAGATCTACATAATGCCCATGGTCATGTTGGTCAAGGATACCAATCTGGGGTGGTGTCATCCAGAAGTGTGGCATTGTGTGATGACCCAGGGCATGACACAAAAATAACAAAGTCACAAAAGTAGATTAAATTCCCTTTAATGCCTCCAACTTGGCCCCAATGTCCAGTTATCCTTGGCTGGATAACAAACTCTTCAACAAACAGTCTACGAAGGGTAGAAATGCAGTCCGAACCCAAAGTAAAGATAATTAGAAATAAAAAAAACCAACACAAACCACACTGAAGTAATTAACACGGCAGGCCAGGATGATAAATTGTAGAGGATAACGCAGCACCCAGAATTGGGAGGACGCCAAAACCCAGATAAGGCTTGACCAAGATAATGCACGCTTTGCTTCCAGCAAGGAGCCGTGTGCAAACGCCCCACTTATATCCTGTTCTCCCAACTGCAACCAATGAAAGGGATCAGGGCCTTCTTCTCTCTCACAAGCTACATTGCTCCCTTCTCCATTCCTCCCTGCATGCCCTAGGATGAAGAGGGGATGGCCCTGAGTCTTTCTCTGAATCCCAGCTGGACTGTGCCCTTTTCCCATTTCCTCCACAGCCACCGGAGCCACACTCACACTCCCTGTCATCTGCTCAATCTCCCCCTCAGAATCAGACTCCAACAAGGGCATGACACATTGGGATTAGCCAAGGCAGAAGCTCCTGGTGATCTATCTGAGAGATGGTCCAATGTTGTCTATCAGCACAAAGGGAATTGGGGCAGAAACAACAAGTCTCTGTACCCTTCCAATATTTTCTTTCCTCTTAGGTAAACCTCCTGGTTCCAATCACTTACCTGATCTTTTGGGCCTTTCTCTTAATCTTCAGTTTTTATTCTGAGCCAGTGGTCTGTGGCATTGGACTGATTATCATCTTAACTGGAGTGCCAGTGTTTTTTCTTGGCGTGTACTGGCAAAACAAACCAAAGTGTGTAAATAGAATAACAGGTAAGAAACAAAAAAGAAAACAGCCTTGGAGGCAGCATCGAGTATATCTATTGATTACAAAATAATCCATTCATTAACTCAAGATTGGTTGCCAAGTACTTCCTTATGTGACTTACACTATTACAGATGTAGAGAAATCTGCCTTAGAAATCTTAACCTTTCTAAGGTTAGAAAGACCCATCTCATTACCTGGCTATCCTAATCAGAGAAGTTTCTAAATTGATGAACAACCTACTTATTTAGACTTATGGGCCTTCAAAGTTCATGTTCACGTTGGTGTCAACATCTGTCCAAAAGCTAGTGGAAAAGAGAGAGAGGTCTCCATTTCTTGCACAATCCAGATGAATCTGGGAAAAACAAAATGCTGGATTAAAATTTGGGCCAAGCCCAAATGTCTAATCTTACATTCCAGCCATGGGACTGGACTCTTGGATTTCAGCCATTTGTCTGAAATGTATGCAAAGCAGATGTTGAAAAGAAGGACCAGGGTTGAGAAGATAGCAGTGTTCCAATATTTGAAGGGCTGCCACACAGAAGAGGTGGCCAATCTATTCTCCAAAGCACCAGAAGGCAGGACAAGAAGCAATGGATGGGAATCTAATCAAGGACAGATCAATCCTAGAACTAAGAAGAAATTTCTTGACAGTAAGAACAATTAATCAGTGGAACACTCTGCTCCCCAAAGTTGTGGATCCTCCAACACTGGAGGTTTTTAAGAAGAGATTGGATAGCCATTTGTCTGAAATGGTATAAGGTCGTCCTGCTTGGGCAGGGGGTTGGACTAGAACAGTGGTCGCCAACCAGTGGGCTGGGGACCACGAGAAAATTTTGGTGGTCCACAGAGAAGCATCACCCCCAAAGCAATTAATCCAGGCTGAGCGGGAATACAAGGCTGCGCTGCCCACAGGGCCCACGGGAACACAAGGCTTGCATCGCTTGCATTGCGAACAAACACCATCAGAAATGATATTTTGGGACCCTGTAAGGCATTTTGTTCCAAGAGGCTGCGCTGGCAAAGACTCATTTCTGGTGGAGTTTGGGGGAGAGAAAGAAAGACTTCTGCTGCTTCTGCTGCTTTCCTTGCATGAAGCCAAAAGTCTCTCTCCCTCTCCCCGAGAACAGAGCTGGAGATGAGATCCTGTGATCCCAAATAAAGAAGGATCAATCGGTAGGAAAACGGGGTGGGGATTTTTCCTGCAGACTTTTGGGGGGATTTTCCCAGGGTCTCTGGTTCGCGGGATTTAAAATTATGACTTTGGTGGTCCTTGAGGTCCAAAAGGTTGGTGACTCCTGGACCAGAAGACCACCAAGGTCCCTCCCAACCGGTATGTTCTTATTCTTCCGTTGAGTTCAAATGCCTTCCCAGTTAATAATGCCCACTCTAGTCTCAAAACTAGCATAATCTAGCTCTTTGATCTTTTTTTCAGAATCTTTAACCCACTGGGGCCAGAAGATCTGTTTTGTTGTCTATCCTCAGAAGGGATCTCCTGAAGACGATCTACCTTTCGCCGATTATCCCTCTCAAGAAGTCAAAAGACCTTAAAAAAAACAATGATACTTTTTACAGAATAAGTAGATTTTGTTTACATTATGGCATTTTTCTTTTTGACTGGGGAAAGGAAAGAACCTTGATTTGGGTTTTTTTTTTAAAAAAAATTTTTTTTAAAGAAATGAGGACCGTCATTTGGACAACTCTAGGAGACACCCTAAAAGCGTTTAGCTCTTTATCCTGAAAAGGAAGAAAATAAAAGTAAAACGAGGCTAATGGGGTTGTTTTTTGTCATGATGCATGTTACATGTAAGTTGAAATGGCCAGGTATTAAAAAATTATTGCTACCAGCCACCTTTTAAGAAAGACAGCAAGGCTTTTGTGAAGTTTCTGCAAATTCCCCAAAGGAGGAATTCTCCTCCGGCTCTTCTCTGGAAATCGAACGCATCTTTAAGGAAACACCATGGCTGGTTATTACGGTCTTTTATTCAGTACTTCGGTAGTTCTCAGCCTTTTTTTTTTTGCACCGTGGACCCCCTTTTAAATACCTTTTGTGGCCACAAACCACCAAGACTCACAATTAACTCACAATTTAAGCCATAACATTTCTTCAACCCTTCGTGGACCCCGTGATGACATTATGCCCCCACCCGGGGTCTGCAGACAACAGGTTGGGAATCACTGCAGCAGGGGTGGGATGATCCCAGCAACCGTTTCGCTGCCTGGTTGCTGGGTAGGCTTGGCCTACCGGAACTTCCGGCGGGGTCATTTTTCCCCTTCCCGAGGGTCCAGAGGCTTCCCTTGGGCCTCTGGGAGAGCGAAAACATCCTCCACCCGAGCTCTGGAGCCTTCCGGAATCTGGAAACAGGACTTCCGGAAGACCCATTTTCCCCCCTCCCAGAGCCCATCGAAAATGGGCCACGTAGAGACTCCTGGGAGGGGCTGGGGGGGTAGGCAGGGCCAGCCGGTCAGTTCAAATACCGCTTTGGGTGAACCAGATGCAAATTTAACATCCAGTTCGCTTGAACTGGTCTGAACCGGTTGCCATCCCTGCACTGAACCGAACCCATCCCTGCACTGCAGTACTTTACGCCACAATAGTCCCCGTGAGAGGAATCTTGGAGTCTTAGTGGATAATCATTTAAATATGAGCCAGGAGAGTGTGCTGCAGCTGCCCAAAAAGCCAACACAGTTCTAGGCTGCATAAGCAGAATAGAAATAAGATCACACGAAAAGTTAATACAACCACAAAGTACCGCTTTAAACTGCAGTCATGAGATCACACTTGGAGACTGCACTGCCATCTGTCAGAAATGGTGCAGGGTCTCCTGCTTGGGTGGTGGTGGGGGGGTTGGACTAGATGACCTACAAGGTCCCTACCAACTCTATTCATCTGTTAATATTGTGTTCAATTGTGAGCATCATGATTTTTTTAAAAAAGTAGAAAGAGTGCAGAGAAGAGCTGCTGAGATGATGAAGGGGCTGGAGGCTAAATCATAGGATGAATGGTTGCAGGAACTGGGTATGGCTAGTCTAACAAAGAGAAGGATTACCCAATTGTCCTCTTGCCAGCTTCTGGCAATTTTTAAATTACCATAATCAATCATCATTACATAATAGGCCCCTGTCATCGTGCAAAATCGTACAATCTATCCAGTACCTGAAAAACATTGCTAAACCGTTTCTCCTTTTGTGTAGTTAAGAATTGTCTCCATCTCTTTACGATCAAAATTACATTTGAAGATCCCTGGGGGTTGCACCCAAGGTTTTTAAACGCAGTATACTCTACTGAAGCCTCCAATTTTGTATCTTGGGTAGGAAGGCAGAAGTGACAGTTTGGTCCATTGGTGCATGAAAAAGTCAGAGAGAGAGCGCACACATTCCAAGATTAACCTAACCCAATTTATAGAACCAAGAGTTTGGCCATTCTTTAAAGACCAGCATTCCTGCATTTGCTGAGTTTTTTTTTCTCCAACAAACACCAGGAAAACCTCCTAAGACAGTTGACAGAACTCCAATGCAAAACTAGAAATGGTCAACGTTTTAAATTGGCCTCTTCTCCAAAAACCAGAGGTGAGAGGGGGATGTAAGATACAAGACTAAAACGGCGAAATTGAAAAATTGAAGCATCATACCCAACATTAGGAGTGTTAATGAATGTGAATATTTGATCCAACCCACTATCTCAAAAAGTTGGCTTGTTATTATAGCGGCTTAGCAGCTAATAAAAATAATATTCTTCTGTTTATGTACCAGACAGAACCGCTGACAGTCTTGGGCATTTCTTGATTTTTATCACGAAAGGAACAAACAAGCGAGTTGGTGAAGATTTATTATTATTATTATTTTTTTAAGAAATAAAAGAAGTGCAGCTCCAAGGGCTTGTTTTTCCCATCACATATTTTACCCAGTGTAGATCAATGTTATAAACTGGCAATAATTGGGTTTTTCATTTAAGCAGTCCCGGAAATAACAGCGCAGGCTCTGTGCTAGCTTGGTCAGCCAGCCGTGTCTCGTACAGCTTCTGACTGGGATGTAGAAAAGCTCGCATTTCTAGAAGCAGAGGGAACCAATTTTACAGACAGGTACCAACAAAAGAGAGCTAATTCACAGCAGTGGTTTCAACTTGCATCCATGTATCCAGGGGGCCGAAGGCAGATGAACTGGGTTGGGATTACTTCTGTGAATCTGCGGAGGGAATCACTGTGAACCACTCTAGTCTTTTCCCTGGAGAACAGGTTGCAGATTGGAAAGTCAAGGGACAAGAAAGTTATCACCACGGGGATAATAATGAAAATAATAATGGAAGAATTGCAGCAACTGTCAGAAGCAGTGAGGCTCAAAAAGGGGTTGGATCCCTTCATGGAAGTGTTGGAGGATCAACAGCTATTAGCCGTGATGGCAGTGGGGATACCTCTGAAGACCATCAGCTAGGAGATTAGTGGACTTTCCTGGGCAGTTGTGCTGGTCATTGTGACCACAGCCTGCTCAACTAGATGGACTAGGGGTCCAAGCCAAGAAGTCATTGCTTACATTCTGCTGATGTGATCAGGGATCTCCAATCTTGGCAACTTTAAGACTTGTGGACGTCAACTCCCAGAATTCCTCATCAGTTCTGGGACTTGATGTCCACAAGTCTTAAAGTTGCCAAGGTTGCAGACCTCTGATCAAGAAAGAAGACCGACATCGCTACTACCGTAAGTGACCTCTTTCTTTACAACAAGAAACACGTCAACGTGGGCCACGTATGGTTTCTCTTTACCCATGGATAGAATTACTCATTCGAGGGTTCAAACCCTGCCTTACATTCAAGCAACCAAAGTGCCAAAGGACCTCAATAAACTTTGAATATGTCCATTCTTTAGACACAAATATGCAGTAAAATCATCAAGAGGAGCGCAGGTGGGATTGTCAAGCTTCCAGCTCTAATATTTAAAGCTGACCTTCCTCCATGGCTTAAGCACGGTCTATTGAATAAACCACAACTGACTAGATTCATACATGATCTTCCCATCAAAATCAAAGCCTTCGTCTCAACCGCTTTCTCACAGCACATGAAGCCACCCAGGCAGCGTCAAACCCAGAAGTGGTATTCCACAGGTTCTGACCAGTTCTGGAGAACCGGTAGCGGAAATGTTGAGTAGTTTGGAGAACCGGCAAACCCCACCTCTGACTGGCTCCACCCCCATCTCTTCTCTGCCTCCCATTGAGTCCTAGCTGATTGGCTGGGTCTTCTTGGGTTGGCCCTGCACAGGAGAACAGAGCTGGAAAGCAGGTTAGTGGGATGGGGAGGGAATGGGGATTTTGCAGTATATCCTTCCCTTGCCACACCCACCAAGCCACGCCCACAGAACCGGTAGTAAAAAAAAATTTGAATCCCACCACCGGTCAAACCCCTCAGGAAGTCCAGACCAGGAATCAACTCCATGGCAACGCTAAAATTATTTTCATTAAGATTGGCTGTAATTATGGAATCTCGCAAATCTGGACTTCCCCTCCCCTTCTTATACCCAGGAGAATTAGGAAAGTGTCTGAGCCGCTTCTGCATTTCTCCCTGCTTGTTTTGGACTTCATCCGTGCTTCTCTCCTCCCGTTGCTTTGGTAACAGATCCAGTCTACCTCTGTCAAGGTCACCCTCCTTACTTTTTAGAGTAAGGCAACCATTGCATCTATCCTCTCTCCATGAAAGAGGAGAAGAGAGAAAGAGAGGCTGTGAAACGCTCTTTCTCCCCTGGCTCTCTATAAGCTATTCTCCGTGCAGACAGACATGCTGTAAAGAAAGAGGCAAAGGAGACTTGGGGGCAGGGCTGGGCTGCTGGGGGCTGGCAGGGGGGCGGGAGAGCCCCTCGCTAAGATTCCCACTCCTGGCTGGCCCCACCCACCCCACCCCACCCCTCCCAGGAGCCCCAACATGGCCCATTTGGGATGCAGGTCAGTGCAGGGTGAGTGTGGAGGCTTGGGGAGGGCCAAAAACAGGCCTCCCAGAAATTCAGGAAGGCCGGAAATGGGCCCATTTCCGGTTTCCAGAGAGCCTCCGGGGTCCGGGGAGGCCGTTTTTACCCTCCCGGAGGCTTGAGGAAAGCCTCCGGAGCCTGAGGAGGACAAAAACGCCTCCCCCATGGTGCAGGAGGCCAGCTAGGCCACACCCACCGTGGCCACGCCCATCCAGCAAGCGGGCAGAGAACCGTTTGCTAGCATTTCTGAAGCCCACCCCTGTGTGTGTGGGGGGGTGTAAGCAGAGGGTGGGGTGTCCTACTGTGGCAGGCGCATGGGGGAGCTAAGCGAGGTGAGGCGCGCCGTGGTGTCATTGCACCTAGGATGTGGATTATGGGACCTGTGCCATTTGCCCACAGTCGTGGCACACGCGAGCTCAGGATTGACCTTCTGCCTTGCGAACATGACCCTTCAGCACACCAACAAAGACTCGTCGTCACTGGGACTCCTTTCGGGGACTGGGAGTGGGCAGGCGGCTATTGGCACTTCCATGGAATGGCAACAAGGAGGGTGAATGCCAAAAGGTTCTTCGTGGCACGAGTGTGGGTCACCATTGGGCGGCTGCTCCCCCCGAAGAGGGAGCGAGGCTCTGTAGGTTTCAGGGTACCTGGACTCC